ATTTACTTTGAATACGGTTCTTCCATATAATGACAATCAAATGTGATGTGGTGATGTGGTGATCCTGAATCAGAGCTTCGAGCCAGTTCTGTCCAGAGGCTAAAGATCTGCAGCCATATCCTGTGCGCATGTAATGCAATTAACTGCACAACTGGCTATCTCTCAGGGAGCCATCAGCTTTCAAACTGAGTTAGTTATTTAAATGTTACTGCTGCAAAATATCAAATATTGCAAACAGCAATTAGTCCACATCTTGCTGGCTTTAATTTAAACAATAAGACGTGGGGAGTGGAGGAGAGACATTGTGCACACGTCTTGAAATGTCAAGGGTATAATGTGAGGAGCCATGGGCTGCAGCATTTTCCTAAAACACTACAAAAAAAAAAGCACAAAGAAAACCCGAGCTCTTGACAAACTAGTTTTTTTTATCTCTTGCTTATTTTAGTCCATTTAAAAATCAAAGGCTGAGAAATGAGCAAGAAGCCAAGGTATGGTGCAGCGTTGGACAAATATCGCTGTGGCCATCATCTGAGGTGGGCAAATGGCTGCCGCGATTCGCCCACAAAATACACATGATAAGACGCTATATCAAATGCAAGGATTATTATTATTATTATTATTATTATTATTATCTCTCAATATTGTTATCTCTAGTCACTTGTTAATGACCTTGGATATCGGCAAACCAGAAGAGCAACATCAAGCAGTGACTATGGATGGCTGCTGCTAGGTATTTTTATATTTTCTATTAAAGTCACATCCACATTCATCTCAAGTAAAATGCTTACAACCTCAGCGTGCCCGTATCTCAGCACTGATCCAGACTACTATAACATCCCTCTTATTGGAAGGTAATCTCACTGCATCCTATGCCAGGGCCAGTTCATCGGCAGCAGCACCTAATTTGTATTTTCAATGCCGCACTCCAAGTCCTTTATCGCTTATTAAATTGTTCAGCAAAGCCAGTTATTTTGTCGACCTGTTGATCAGCATCAGTGGATCAAGTTACAACTTAATATATGTATTAAGTCGCTGCTTTATCAAATGAACAGTCATGTAAGTGGCGATTGATTACTGGGGGCTGAACTTTAGAAGCAAATCATTAATTAGAACACTCCAACATTAAAAACATTTATAGTAGCTACAGATATTTTTTCCCCCAAACCGATTTACACCTACTAATATACAGATGTTTATAGCATGTCCACATTTTGGTAAGTTATAGAATATGAAATGTAATTTGAACAGGAAAATAAATAGATGGATCATTATCTTTGCGACTACATCCATGAAATGTATCACACAGTTGCACTTGGCACCATCACCTATACTTTGCTCCAATAATCTCATGTTTTACTGACGAAGATAATAAAAATCCTTGCATTTGACATAGCGCCTTATCACGTCATTGAGACGTCTCAAAGCGCTTCACGGGATATGTTACAAAATGGATTGAAAGTGGATTTTGTGGGCGAAACAACGCTACAAGGCTATTGCTGTCCTCTGAATGTCTGGAAAATGCTAGTTTAAAAGGTGGACACTGAGTGGGCGTGGATTGGAAGATGATTCATAAGCACTGTGGTGCCCCTGGTGGATTGAGGTAATATATAAATTGGGTAGAAATAAAACAATGAGAGAAACGGTTTCCCCAGAAGAATTGAAGGTAATAACAAAAGGTACAAATATACGAGATAAACCTTCAGTTATTACCCTCAATTCTTATCACGAAGAAGGAATTGCCCTCACTTTTTAAAAAATAAATAATAATATTTGTTGGGACTCTGCAAAAGGCTGACGTGTTTCGTCCATACAACATACAGTCAATACACTTTACAGTACATTCAGTGAAGCGCTTTGACATATATACGTATATATAGTCAGAAAACATCTTTCCCTTAAATGTAGACCCAATCATTCGAACGCAGCAATGTAATTGACCAGCAAGAACCATTCATTACACTCAATTGCGGTCATCTGCAGGAATTCACTTTTTATATGTAACCATGGAAATGTGGTCAAACCGGTTCGGAAATTAGCATTTGCAGAGCTCGTATGCATTCATTTGATGGGACGTTTAATATGAAACACGCCCGCAGCTGGAAAAGAGTCAAGTTATAATATAATATGCGCCATTCTGAAATATTTAATAAGTAACCGTTTGCAGGGCGTCGAAACTATCGGCACGCTGCGGTTCAAAACATTTGGAAGGCTTTAAGGTACTATTAATGTCATTCTATAAACTGCTTCATATTTGGTAAATATGGATCCATTGCACACACGTTCAAGGAGATCACTGCAGGAGGGACGGTGTTCCAACGTTTGCTTAATAACAACGTTTAGACAAAGGAAATATTGACTCACGAAAGCTGCCGTGCTGATGACACAAACTCTTGATTTATTAAGTAGGGTCATGGTGACTGGTTTCCTGATACTGTATATTTCTGCAGGTTTGTTGCTCGAGAAAAACGGGGGACGTTCCCGGTGCTGCAAAGTGCAATGCCTACGTTTGTTAAAACATAACTAGGCAAATCGTCTTCACTCTGCAATTCTATGGAGGGTGAATTAGGTAGAACGGGCACGATGAGGAAAGAGCAGTGGAATGGGATTGGAGAGCTCCGGTGGGCAAACAATCGACTGAATGACTTCTGCGTTAACTGAGGTACCTCTGCTCTGAGATAACATAATAATAATAATAATAGCAATAATCCTCGCGTTTGATACGTCCTCGAGACGTCTCAAAGCGCTTCGCGGGACCGTGCAGTCCTGTAGCTCAGTGGTTAGAGCGCTCGCCTCGCAAGCGAGAGACCTGGGTTCGATTCCCGGCAGGGCCAAACCTTGGGCAAGTTTCCTTGCTCCTCATGCCCGATAGTTATCCCCCAAGAGAGAAAAATATATAATAATTTGGTCACTTCAATCCACGGCTGTTTGTGGGGACGCTGCTGTGCGCAATTGGCTGCCGCGTTTCGCCCACAAAATATACAGTCGATTCACTTTACGGTCTATTCTGTGAAGCGCTTTGAGACGTCGAGCAGACGTGAAAAGCGCTGTATCAAATGCAAGGATTGTTATTAATTCTTATTATTATACACGGTAAAGTGAATTGACTGTACGCTTTGCGGGGCGAAACGCGGCAGCCGAGTGCGCACAGCGGGGTCCCCTCCGCGCAAACAGACGCGGATTGAAGCGGACCGAATTATTATCATCACCGCCTCTGTTCTGCGATGAAGCAAGCAGGGAGGGTGGCTTCTTTTGAGGGTGTCAATTCCACGGTGCTGTAACGTTAACAAAAGCAAAACACAAGGGTGCTCTTTGGCACCTCTCGGTAAAGTGCAATCCAAATAAGAGTGGAAGCTAATGCCGGTTTAACTGTAGGATAGAATGATTGAAATGCTGCTGCTGGAGGTACCTGCCTTAATCAGTTCATATAATCACACTTATCAAACTGATGGACACTCATTTCTTTGTTGATAGGTTAAGAGCTAAGCAGACTGAATTTATTTTAGGGCCTCCGTTGTGTAAGTGAGGACTGTTTAACATTCCTATGCATATTCCATTGGTGCTGCCAGACTAACTCGTATATGCCTT